CTAGGGAAAGTAGTAGATATGCGCATACATTTGTATTTTCAGAAAGCCAAAAAATGTACAATTTTCAATTAGGATTCTTTTCTATTACCGCAAGCCTCTCTCATAAATCGAAAATAAACTAATATGTAATCCCCAATTGTTATTATACATTTTTTTTTTTTTTTTTAATCTCAATCTTTAGAAAACTATTGTTTCAAGGATAGCACTACGTCCTCTAGAAGTTGATATGCAGGCAAATGAAGAGACATATCGGCGTGGTATGTAGCATGTGCCGACTAATATCACACAAAACCACCTCGTCATGATTTTTTTTTTTTTTACAAAGATAGTGGTTTATGGTATATTTCGGTTTAAAATTGAACTACTTTGCACCGTCGCACATATTCTGTATTTTGCTCTTTTTATTCAGTAAAGTATAAATTAAGTTTCAGTTGAAACGTCTCACCATATAAATTCAGTAGATTTCGTTAATTATAGATCAATTGAAGGAAAACAAATGTTCTTTCCATATACAAAACCACTCGAGTTGTGCAGTATTGGTATAAATCGAACTTACGTACATTAGGTCACATTCGAGACATGCTGCCCCGTGTTCAGCTCTCTTTTCCTCGAATGATCAAAGAAAGCATTAACTCGGGTAAGTTTTCAACGATCACGATGATTTCGGGTATTGATGGATTTCACTTACCCTCTTGTAACAAATTGTACCTTGTATATGTTGGAAAACTTAATCTGAGAACTTGATTCTGGCGGATATGTTAACAAATAATATAAGTGGGTCTTATCTCTCACTTTACGTGTCACATATAAATAAGTGAGGTTATTAAAAGATGAATATAAACACATATACACACACACACAAAACAATTTGGATTTAGAAAAAAACAACTACTCCACAAATCAGTTTTGCCAATGATATAGGCCGTAGAAGCAATCAACATCTGGATCTTAATATCTGATAAATACATACTACTACTCATTAAATTGCAACAACCGAGTGCCAGATTCTTAATAATGCTACTGATTGAAGGTTGAAAAGCAAACACTGGAGGTAGCAACCGGAGACTGGAGTGTCTGGATTTAGAATGGGAGGGGGTAGTAGTCGCAGCAGTGTTCAGAGTCGTGATCAAAGGAGAGCCAGGGGTTGAGTAGCCGGAAAGGTTGCTGTCATTAGGGATAGTTGATAAAGGGGCAAGCCTAATTGACCCTAACAGAGGTACATACTCATTACTGGCCCTGATAAGCCTGGAGTATGAGGGAAAGAGATATGGTTCACCTCTCAGGGCTAAGTGCGAGATAACTAATTGGGAATAAAGTGCCCATGGCTCCCTGAGGCCATTCAGGATTGACCCCAAGTCAGCCTTTGATCCTTTCAAGTTGGCTCTCACATCTTCGGAAGTGGACAAAGGGGTTGCAAAAGGAGGAGAAAGCTAAGGACTGAGGCCCAAGGTAAGGGAAAGGGAGATCCTGGATGTAAGTGATTGATTATGATCATTTTTCATGTTTCTTGATCATTCCTACATTGTTATATTTTTCCTTCATATTTCTGCATTATCTGCCTCTATTTATCTGAAAAGGTCTTATTTATGGGAAATTCCAGTCAAATAACCAGAATTACTATTTCTAGCATCAGTTTTCATTAAGATTGTAACTATGATCATTTAATACTTTAGCATTCTTCTCTGTCATAAAGAATGGTGTGGTTATAATAACTGACTTTAACTATGCCCAAATAGACCTTTTTGCAGTAGTATTAGATCACCAAGTTGTTTTAAAGATATGGTGATAGCAAAAACAAAATATACATATAAAAAATAAATAAATAAAATAAAAATAAAATGCAAACATGACTGACAGTGATATTTTTCTTCTTCTAAATTCTGATATGGAAAGTGTTCATCATTTTATAATTAAATAGCTATGAACAAAACAGAAAACTTTTTTTTTGAGAGATGTAAAATAATACACTTAAGTTTTCAAATGCAAATGAAATGAAGTACTTACAAATTACAATGAAAAATATTTACATTTCCTTTTCAGCATTACAATAAAAGGTTAAAGATGCAAGTATTAATAGCAGACATTTTATTTTTACCACACTGGAGTACAGACAAGCTTAGTCATACGTAATCACAATAAAAAAGCTGACCTTATATTAACACACGGGTAGGGGCAGACACAGCTACATTAGGTTTATATAAATGCTCTCATCATTCATTGTACATGAAAAGAAAACAGGGTTGTCTACTTCTATTTTTTTTCTAAATATGTAGTAAAATAAGTTCATAATAAGGAATGTTATACAGATTGTGGATAACAAAACAGATAAGATAGACAGTGTCTATGTAGTTGTTGTTTTTCCTCTAGTGGTAAGTGAGAGCTCTGCTTTTGATACAGAAGATCACTCTCGCCATTAAATGCTACACACATTATAATCCTCAAGCACAGCCAAAACTCTCACATAGCAATTGATGTTAAAATGTTTACATTAATATATTTACAACTTTTTTCAAGCAGAAAGCAGTGTCTGTGGATAAGAATAAGAAAAAAAAATATCCAATACTATCATGGGTAGTGTGCCCGCCCATATGATATCAACCACGTGCTGTCTTATGCAAAAATGGTGAGCCATACAGCAGTCAAATTCTTAAATGGCACTTGAGCAGAGGTAAGTACTTGAATGTTATATTACTGATTAAGTTACTGTTTGCTGGCTTTACAGTAAATAACTAGGTAAACATTTGGGAGTGAAATTACTTTCAAAACCTGTGTAAGGTCTATATTATTTTTAATATCTTAAAAAAATGATGAATGGCATTGCAGAATTAGGAATATAGCCAGTATAGAAAGTAATATCCAAAGGGTGCTATAAAGTAGATTTCAATAAATAAGACATTTCTTTCACCTAAGTGTCATTTCAGAATTTGCAATACTCCTCTGTCACAAGAGCCCTGTCACATTTGATGCAACTTGAACTCTAAGACACAGTTATGGAAAAGGTGTGACGTGATGACAGTCACGATCCCAAGCATGGGTGCAGTAATGACAACATACTGACTCTTAGAACAACCATAGTCAAGGGTCATGACTGGGCATCCAATCACAATTTAGAGTTGAGTGTTCAGACCATTGACCCAGTATGTATATGTTGTCATATCAACTGGGCAAATATCATCCTATTATCATCCTTTTTGTGTGTAAGAATTCAGTTTATACTTATCTAGTTAAGGCATTTGCCCAGGTTGATATGACACAACCATGAAAAAACTATTCAAAGAAACTCTTCATAAGCTCCGTCAATCTTAGAGAGCAAACAATTAAAATGTTTGTACAGTCACTGGTAATTAAGAATTGAAAATATCAATTATATACTAAAGTGCACTGATTTTAATTATCTAAAAATTAAAATTTGGTCCATTATAAATCTCAAAATATTAACCATAAGCCATTTTGTCGACTCTACATTGCACCTAATCATATGCAATACATTTTCTACTGTAAGAAAACAAACAACAAAATTTCTTTAATTCTGGGTAGTGTTGATATTCAGCCAAGAGCAATATGTAAAAATTATTTGCAAAATGTCCATATATCAAATTCACTTAGCAACTGAGATGAATTACAGTACTTTAAAATGGGCATCACACATCTCAGTTTCATAATTGGCTATGCTATATGACTAGGCCTAGTTGAAAGTTTTCCTGGAGACGATGCAATGTAGTGTTAGCTGCAAGCCACTGGATTGCCTAATTTTTATTCCCTTTTCCTTGAGGTATAAAAAGAACCAAAATATAATTACATACATACAGGCAATACCAAGTGCACAGTATCCACAGGAATAACTTGTCCCAGACATCAAATCCAAAGATTGCGATTAATTTGTGAACATTAAAGTATTATCCTTTACATGATAAGGCTATGATCAGCACAGCAAAGATGGCAAAGTCTTCCATGCACACATTTAAAATCATTATATATATTTTTTTTACCTTGCAGTGTAAAACAAAAAATACTGCCTGACTTTTTTCCATGACCATTCGATGAACTATATAATATTCATAAAAAGGGAGGAGTCTAAAATATGACTATTTTGCTGATGCTTTCACAATATGAGAATCACATAACTCTTCCATCAGTACATATATGAACATGAAGTTTCTTGCACACAAGTAATGCTGGATTATAACAGGCATTCACATTTACTACTGACCCTCATTCTAAACATTATTTCTCTAAATTTACCATATGCAGTCACAAATAGGACGTCAATAAGAAGTCATTTTGTTACTACTCATTATTCTACTCTCAAAATAGTTCATGGTACCTGAAAACCAGAGAATAAGAGTCCACACGCTGCTAATATATTTCTAGTGATGAATTAATCCTAGCCTCTTTGTCTATGCATCATTCACTTTCTTTGGCAAACTTCAACCCATTGCAATTATTCTTGAAATGCCTTTTCTCATTCTCGTTTAATTTTCTTTTCCATATCGCAGCTTAAAAGTCCTTTATTACAAGTAGTAAAATTATTACTCACGCACTCCTCAAAGTTTTACAAATCTTCTAGCCTGTCTATTTAAGTGTAAATATGAAGACTAGCAGAAGACAAAGGTCTACACTGGGGAATCCTTTGTTACACTACTCTTGGACTCGCTCTTTTTCAGCTTCTCCTCTTCCTCCTTTTGCTCCTCCTTCAGTATCTCTTCTTTGTCATCCTTTTCGCTGTGGAAACAGAGCAGTAGCATAAGTATCACCAAAATGTTGAGATTTCAAATCTTTTAAATTTCATGCAAACTGAATTTAGATCAAATTTAAAGAGGAAGACTGAATTTTTAAAAGAATCATTCCAAAAAAAAAATTAAAAACAAGTTACTGGATTTAAAATGTAGAGAAAAAAAATATGTAATTCACTGGATTAAAATAAAATAAAAGTTACAAACCACCAAGAAATTTTGTTGTAAGTACCAACCTAAAAACAGAAGCCATCCTAACTCTACCCCATTAGCATGCAAGCAATTAGATGATAGTTGGTTGTTTGTATGACCGTTGGCTGGAATCTGTGCTTAACAAGCTCCCAAGAGATCTTGCAGATGACAATGATTGCGGACTGTATGTTGTCGAGCTCTGGCAGTCTTGTTGGGAGGGATAGTGAGCAGCATCTAGATTATCCATGCTCTGACTGTGTTTCTGCTGCTGAGGACGTTCACGAAAGTGTAGAGTTGTTACTGTTTTTAGAGGTTTCTTGTCCTCTTTATTTTCAGTGGAAGGTGGTGGGGCTGGTGGTGGTACTGAAGGCCGAATAGATGGTGGGACATGATTTTGTGTTGAAGCATCAGGACTGAATTTGTGGCCTGATGGTTGTCCTAGTAACCTAGACATGAGTTTAGGTTCAACTCTACCAGCAACAGGTCTCCTTGCTGAACTTGGTGACACTGGATCATCATAGGGTGCAATTTCATATGCAGTTTTAGGTTTTGCATCATAATGAGGACTCTGAACTGGTTGATACAAAGTACTTAATGAGCTCTGACTTGGGGATCTCCTAGGACTATTTATTGTCTCATATATACCAGACTGACTGGAATTACTCGATAGCATTGGCCTTCCTATCCCATTTTCCATGACAGACATGTTGTAGGGAGGTCTTGGTGCCTGATTCAGACTGCCTCAGAGCTGACATGTTGTAGGAGGTCTTGGTGCCTGATTCAGAGCCTCTCTGCTCGCTGACATGTTGTAGGGAGGTCTTGGTGCCTGATTCAGAGCCTCTCTGCTCGCTGACATGTTGTAGGGAGTCTTGGTGCCTGATTCAGAGCTGACATGTTGTAGGGAGGTCTTGGTGCCTGATTCAGAGCCTCTCTGCTCGCTGACATGTTGTAGGGAGGTCTTGGTGCCTGATTCAGAGCCTCTCTGCTCGCTGACATGTTGTAGGGAGGTCTTGGTGCCTGATTCAGAGCCTCTCTGCTCGCTGACATGTTGTAAGGAGGTCTTGGTGCCTGATTCAGAGCCTCTCTGCTTGCTGACATGTTGTAAGGAGTTCTTGGTGCGTTATTTCGTGCCTCTCTACTTGCTGACATGTTGTAGGGAGGTCTTGGTTCTTGACTTAGTGCCTCTCTGCTCGCTGACATGTTGTAGGGAGGTCTTTGTGCCCGATTCAGAGCCTCTCTGCTTGCTGCCGTATTGTGTGAAGTTCCTCGTCCTCCATAATAAGAGGGCTGTTCTTCATAAAATGTACCTGTAGAAGATTCTTGTACATGATCAAGAAGTCTGTCATGACTTTGAGACTGTCTCCCTAAAGTCAGCTGTGTACCTGGATTCCTCATTGGCAATGGAGGTCTTGATTTAGGGGTTTCTGGAGAATGAACTGGAGGACGTGCCTGTTGCACCAGGAAAGGAACATCATAAATAGAGTCACTGGAAGTCTCATGGTCAAGAATTGGAGTGCTACTGGAACTCTTCATTGAGCTAGCTGTTCTGAAGACTGGATTCTCAAGTGCCAGTGCCATACTGCAAGGCCGACCACTTGGACCATAGGCACCCTGGTTCTGGCTGTTGCTTTTCATTATGGCTTTCACAATATGAGGCTGTCTGGGATGGACATTTTGACTTCTCTCATATTCCCCATTTTGGTTCATGAATTGCATGTTAATTGAAGTAGGATTATGTTGGCTGTATGCTTGTTGCCTTCGCTGTCTTTGATCTTGATCATTAAGTGTCCTGACATCCACTTCATTCACTTGTACTTTGGATTTCCTGTTAGAGCCTCTTCTGAAAGTTTGGCAAATAGTGGAAATGAAGTTCAGCTAATGCTATTCCTTCTAATTCTTATACAGAAAAATTACTTGAAAATGGAAAGAAGAGCCATAAGTAACTTTTGCATGAAGAGAAGTTCAGCTTTTGACTATATGATACAGGAGATGTGTTAGATTAAGTCTGAGAAAAATTACAATAGTCATGTTATTACTTGTTCACTAAAAAAAATGTTTAATATCTATCTTTCAGTCAAATAGCATGTATCTAAACCTCCAAAATCCAGTTTTCACATGTGTAATAATCAAACTTGCACATTAATATATCCATTATATGAGTTAATAAGACTGCAGGCTACCTATAAAATTAAAAGTACACTAGCATATTTCAATTTCAATCACAGAAGCAAAATGACATCTACTCTATGCCAAACATGAGCCTAATCTGAAATGCTTCCCAATATCTTGAGAGATAATAAAAGGGTTTACAGGATTATTGCAACAAAGATTCTGTAACACTACTAGAGAATCCAATGATAGCAATAGGTACGTTCCGAGATAAATAAACTACAGCTTCAGTCAAAAGTTCCTTCAACACAAAGTTGAAATAAAAGAAGAATATACTTAGTTCTTGCTGAATATCTATTTAAAATTTCAATAGCACTGCAAACAAGATGTCTGTAGCCATTCAAGATAAGAGAAAGGTCTTCAATCATGTGTTAAAAAGTTTTCTTAAACACCTATAATAAGAGTA